GCACATTTCACAAACCAGAAGCCAGAACTACTTGGCGAGGGCCATACGCGGAATCAAGCGCCTTTGACAAATTCAGTCAATTCAAGATCCCGAGGTGGATTCACCTCCTCCCATCAAAGCAAAGCAATCGTAGTGAGGGGTGGACTGATGATTTCTACGAGGAGCTGCGCAAGGACCTGCAGTAGGTAGTGCTGACTGCTCAGGCTTGCACCCACGTGCAGGTCCTGCGAATACCATGAGCATGCCAAACAACTTCACCCAGCAACACTGAGTAGCTAGACAGTGCCCAGGCTGCCACCCGAGTGGCGGTCCTGGATGGATACAAAGAGTACAGATATGTACAGCAACTAGGACATAGGATAACGGCGTCTCACCCTGTTTCACTTAGTTCATGGGGCTTGCATGTTTCAAGAATGCATCCAGGTGGCACGCCAGCGTGGCGCCATTCGAGACTCAACTTTCTCCTGCCATTGTGCCAGCCGGCAACTCGACTAGCTTGTGGATGTTTTGCAATTTCCCTTCTGTGGCTCCCGTGGCATAGCTGTTTTGGAGTCACCGCCGCATTGCTGAAGTGCATAGCTGCCGTCTCCCCCCTCTGGGGGGGGCTGCGGCCTGGCCGGTACGGTGCTTACTTGCACCCAACAACCACGTCTGTCTTGGCTTCACTGTGTCTGGCTTTCGTTGATTTGTAGTCTTCGTTGGCCGACTCAGTTATTTCCCCAGAGCCACAATTGTCTCGCAGCCTGCTTCGGCAATTGCCTTGGCCATCTCCTCGTGATTTTGGTGACAATTGTGAGGTTGTGAAAGCGTTCAGAACTGTCTTGGTTCTCGGATTTGCACTGCTCATCCATGCCTTGCGACACCGTGTTTAGAGCGATGAAGCCTCGTTTGAAGTAAGGAACCTCGGCTGCAAAGCTGAAAGCCTCATCGCACATCATCGTGCGAGGAATGCAACAGATTTCGAAAGCGGTGCGCCAATCTCACAGACTCTTTAGAAGAAAAAGGACTATGCCCAGATAGTGAAGTACTGAGTGCAAAGGATGAATTCATTGCCCCTTCGTCTCACCTGGTTTCACTCTTCTCCACTGGCTGACGCAGCCAACCTGAGGTACGAACCTTGCTCCTTTTTGGGTGGGTTGGGTTTGTTGTTTTGGGGTTGTTTTTGTTCTGGTTCCGGTTTTGTTGCTTGGTTCGTATCTCTCTCTCTTTTACTAGCCTAAGGTGACTTGTGCATCCTCTGCACACATAGCGCCTCGACCCGTGCAAAAAAAAATGTGGCCTCCAAAACCTTGAAATTCTAGCCGGCCAATTTACGTCCCCCGGGAGTTTGTTGGCCAATGTGCGAAGAGGCAGTTGGCCTGTGTCCACACCTTTTCGCATTGTGGCCTGACAGACATTCGTTTCCCGTCCGCCCTGCAGGAAATCCAAGCCTTGTGGAAAACATTCAGTGTGAGTGTAACCTCATTGCCAATTGGCTCACAACAGCCTAGAAACGGCCATTCTTGGGACAGGATGGCACCTACGCTCCCCTACAAGGCAGCGCACCATGGAGTGGTCAAAGTCAAACCAGCGACCGTGGCGCTCGCAGCAGCGTCAAGTGGCAGAGATCCACCAGCAGGTAATAACACACTTCAGATTCTCAACAAATGGTTTGCTGTTTGAAGGATGACGTCATCAACTTTTTGCCAACAGTCACTGACCTTGACGTCTTCGGATGCGAAGTGGACCTGGTCCGACCGGACACGCAACAGCCCCTTCGAGATCCGTCCAAGACACTCTGCAGAAGCATGGACGGAATCATGCAGTAGTCTGACAATGCATGGAAACAGGACACAATCAATGGCACTCCAAAATGATGCCTGTCCAGGCTGCCCCAGAGCAGTGAAGGTCTCCCTCAATGATTTTGGAGCAGTACCGGACAGTGCCTTTGTTCTGTCCTAACAGTGAGGCATGCAGTACAGTGGTCGCAAGGAATCCAACCATGAGAGCAGCGGCGTGGCAGAGCTGCCCACAACTGCAAATTGTCAAGCTCCCTGGTGCGCATCAAACCTGCAGCTTTCCAAGGGTGTTTTGCCTTGGAAAAGGTGATTGTGCCCCAGTGTCGCTGCGATATGTTCACGCCAATGGAGGAGTTAACACCTTTAATGGCATGACTAAACTAGGCCACTATCTCTTTGACGCGTGTATTAACCTAGCTGCAACAACGATACTGCAAGCAGTGCTCGAACCGCAGTCCTTGACACCAGTTCTGCATCGAGAGATACCAACGGGGTGCTTTTGTTCCACAGGATTGAGTGACCTTAAGCTACCCCTCGACTTCCATAGACTAGGAGCTCATGCCTTTGACAATTGCAAGCTTCTCTCTTTAGTAGACATATCCGATACAACCATACTAGACATCCGAGAGTTCACGTTTGCGAACTGTGTGCTGCTCCAGAGGGTAATGCTCCCATATACGCTCCACACTATCCATTCGAAAGCATTTATGAATTGTGCCGCTTTGCAAGAGCTAGCCATCCCACCATCGCTTCATTACATTGCCTGCAAAGCCTTCTTTGATTGTACAGTTTTGAGAGGGCTTACGCGAATGCCAGGCAAAAGAACTACATGGAGAGGAACCTATGCCGAAGAAACGGCCTTTGCGCTTTGTCCTAGATGGCGCCTGCCACAGTGGCTTCACCTTGTTCCCGATCTGGGATACGCGTCGGACTTGGCCTGAGTCCAAATAAGCCACGTCGTAGATGCCAAGTAGCAAGAGCATCACACCAATGCAGTCCGACTGCCCTCTCCAACCCGTACAAAGGAGAGATGAGCTAGACAGGTGTCGTCACTACTCAGAGATCAACATGTCCACATCTGCACACTCCCAGTGAGCTGACGCAGGCGAGAACCTTAGTTCTCGACCTGTGTCTGCGCGCACCGGTAGGATAGACAGGCGGTTGGAACCCAGGTGAGAACCTTAGTTCTTGGCCTGGATGTGGGTCCGTGCCCTGCCAACCTTGTACAAAGTGGGCAAACGGCACCACACTAGCCTTACCACGTTTCATAGGGCTTTGCATGATGGAGGCGAGTCAGTTCATGAATCGGATTGCTATCCAGCCAGGATAGCACATTGCACATTTGCTGTGCTCCTATAGGCTTAGCTGTTAAGGAGCTTGCTGGAGATGTGCTACACCTGCTCCCTCAGTTCGAGGGAGCTACGCCAGGCGCCGGAAGGCGCACCTGAATGCAATGACTTCCATAGGCAAAATGCCCGCAGCAGGCCACAGCTTTCCCTGCCCTCGCAATTGCTTGGAACAATCGTGACCAGGTTACTGCTGTTTTCCATGGCCAGACCTTCATTGCTCTTCGATCATCGAACTTTTGACTTGCTGAACTTCTAGGGAACTTCTCAGGCTGTGCTCAATATCAGTAAACTGTAATCTAGCTAGAGCACTTGCGCCAGCAAGTGCTTTTTTGGCCTGTCCACACACAGGCCGATCGCGCAAAGCCTCTTCGCATACGAATCGACCACCCTCAATAGCAGCTTGAATTAGAATTCGTGGCCCAGGTAGCAAATAGCCGTAGTTCCCGTTTCACCATGTTTCACTTCAGATGTACAGAGATGAAACTCCGATGTTCTCGCTCGCTGTTTTTGGTTTTGGTTCTGTGTTTGGTGGCTTGGGTTGTTCTTGGTTTTGCTGTTTTCCCTTTTTTTGTTTCTGGAGTACGCGGAGTTTCGAACCTTAGCAAAAGATGACTCGTGCACACCGCACACATGGCGTCTCCACTCGTGCAAAAAAAAGGTGATTGTGCCCCAGTGTGTCGAATTTGGCGACAGTTGCAGAATGCTGCTCGCTGAAGTGCATTGGTATGCGGGATAACGACTGCAGCCTCCTTCCACCTTGATTATTTCTTTCAAACCTCAAAAATCGACATTTTCAACCTCAATCATCCAATCAGTTTTGCCTGGGCGGATGGGTTGGTGGGGTGGCAGGGTGTGGTTGGTGGTTGGCTGGTTGGTTGGTTGGTTGGTTGTTTGGTTGGGTGTGTACGTGTTGGTTGCTTGGTTGCTTGCTTGCTTGCTTGCTTGGTTGGTTGGTTGGTTGTGCGGGTTGGTTGGTTGGTTGGTTGTTTGGTTGGTTGCTTGGTTGCGTTTGGTTGCTTGGTTCATTGCTTGGTTGCTTGGTTGCTTTGGGCCTCTGTGTTGTGTTTTTTTGTAGGATTTTTTGCACGTGTTTTGATTCGACTCGATTCCAAAGAGTCAAATTGTGGTGTCTTTCGATGACCTGCTGCTTCACTTTGGATGATATTTTTCTCTTCATTGTGTCTTTCACGCATGCTTTTCACAAGACTTGCACCCTCTATGTTTCATTCTGACCACCAAGACATGGTTGCCCTGCATGGTTTTTGAGTTTTGGACGGATCCTCCTGGTGTGGCCATTGCCACATGCACTTGAACAAGCAGTCTGGGTCTTGAGTCAGAAGCAACCTCCTTGGGGCATTCTTTTCATTGCTGAGCAGTTTTTATCCCTGATTGGATCCTTGAGTCGGAAGATGTCTCAAACCCTAGCACAGCGGACACGGAACAAGATGTACAATATCAACCATTGTCATTCTTGGATGTTTGCAGCTTCAAGTTTTCCGTAGTTTTGTTGATGTTGGGCAATATGTCAAACTCCTCGTTTTGTGCAACCCCGTTGTTGAGTGGAATCGGGTTTGTTTCTTTTTTGGGATTGGGCACATTTTCAAGTTGCAGGTGTTGTGCAGGAACTAGAGTGAGGTTGGTCATGTTTGGACCTGGTGCAAGCCAATATACCAATTGTACAAACGAGCAATTGTATCAGCGGAACATACATATTGTTTTTGACTTTCGGACAACTAAATTTGGCCTCGCCGTTTTCATCGCCGTAGATACAAGCGACCTTTGTTTGTGCTTATTAGAATGTGAAATTTGTGTTGGTATTGTTTCCAATTGACCTGTGTGACTAGACTTGTAATCTCATTTTGCTCGCTGTTGGCTCACAAAAGACCCCTTCCTTTGGGAACATTGTAGCGCAGCTGTGGCGGCCATGTTGAAGGACTGTTCCTCAACCAATGACAGGGTGTGAAGCGGACACCGTTCTATCGCCATTGTTGCATCCACCTGAACTGTACAGGAGATGCTGACCACACTGCTATGCTTGGCCACAGCACTGCATGCTTTTGTGGAACTCTCAGAAATTGAATTGGCAAGAAAACAAGGCGGTTTTGAATGAGGCATCTGAGGATGCGACTAGGCACGATCAATTGCAAGCATTTGCAAGCAGCGGGCCTTATTCAATGCAAAAATGCGGATCTCATTGCTAACTTCGCCAGGCCTGTCACAAAAGTGGTGAACCTTCTGAAGGTGCCATTGCACACATATTTTGAAGTCATGGGATTTGACACTAGGCACGACAGACACAGCGAGTCCAGCTCTGCAGGGCATGCAGTCAAACTTAGAAAAGGAAGCCAAGGAGGATGAGGAGCAACAGTTGAATTCATGTTTGCATACCGAACCTCTGCTGCACAGCAGATGTTGCAAGGACACTCATGAGAAAATGCAGTGTTGGTGCAAGACCAACGGTGATGAAAAGGCCAAAAGCATTGAGGAAGCACAGACCCATATCAAGGTTCACATCTCAATGAGCTGATATTTTTTCCTGGAACTTTGGAGTGTTGTTACTGTTGCCGTTTCCATTCTTCTTCAAGAACACTTGAGGGGACGCATGACATATCATTCGATGGGTTGGCTCTTACACTAAGTCAGATAGTGACAACATGCTTTCAATCGAGTTTCCAAGGCCCTGGAATCCCGAGTAGAAGAACTTGGTGCAACAAGTTCACGCTTAGCCACTGAGATCACCCATGCTAAGGCATGTGTGGGGGTGGCTGAAGAACCAGGTTATTTTTTGAAATATAGTATTTAAAGTCTCACAACAATTATTTCTTTGCCAGTTTCTTGCTCCATGAAGCAGTCGCATTGGTTGCTTCCTCTCTTCTTTGCCTGGACAGAGCAACGGGCGCCAGGAAGAGATCTCGAGCAATCAAGCTGCTTTGAAAACCGCAGAAGAATTGCGGAAGAAACAGGTTGCTGAATTCCAAGCCGATGAAAAGGACTGAACAGATAGTATGTTCTGACACGTGATAGACTTTACACCAACAACTGTCCCAGCATATATGCTCGTGATCTCAAGAGTGGGATCGTAGTTACTGTAGTTGTCCTTTTTTGGCCAATGAGGGATTTGTGGCCACAACTTTGGAAGATAGGGGATGATGGAGGTCAGGGTTTTGCCTAGAATGTTCAACGATTCAAAGACACAGTTCCAGAGAGATGGGATGACCTGCTCAATCACGGATGTGGTTTGGTGAATCCAGCCCTCTATCACAACGAAACAGGAACGGGTATCGAACCAAACTCAAAGGATCTTGCGCAATCTACAACTTCTGTGGACAAAGCGCTGGATGTAATTGGCCAAGATCTTAGACTGCAGCCAGAAGTTGCACGCCCGAAGTTTCCTTGAATGTCCACCCCGTTTGGACATTTGATTGGTGAGATAGACAGATTCGCTTCAGTCTGTGGTCCTTAAAAGCAGCAGTAACTCTTGGCTCAGTAGTTCGCAAGCGAAAACCAAGCTGAGGTTCTAATCCTTCTTTCTTGCAGATGTCCAAGGCCCACGAGTGTTCCTTTTGGCTGAACATCGAGTTGGAGTGAAGACTTGCTACGACGATAGGTTGCCAAGAGACTCTCTCCTCTCGCATGCTTCAGGGCCGAGTGGTGAATGCATTGACGCAGCTAAAGGTGGTTTTGTCCAAGCATGCCACTTGACTAGAGGGAGATGGCACATTTCATCCAGCATGAGCTCCGATGTCGCTTTGCAGTCGAAGTCTTTCAGTGATTTTTTCAGTGCAGCCAAAATTTCATTTGCTTTTCGGATGTGTGCGAGATCTTCTGAGCTTTCAGCTATAGGAACGCCTTCTGACGAAAGAGCAGCGTCAGAAGGTGGCTCTTTCTTTTGTTTTTTTCCATGAGAAGCGATGGAATGTCAATTGTGCTTGTGGAAGGTGGAGCAGCTTCTGAAGAACCCCTCCAAATTCAGGCCTGCACAAGATTCCCTGGAGCAGACTTGTTTGTATTGGCTCCAGGCTCGAGGTGAGCCTCCTTTAGCCTGCTTTCGTCTCAGGTCCCAATTTTTGCAGCAGGATCCCTCAGCTTCTGGAGTTGCAGGTGTACTCTCAGGCCTCAAGGACATTTCGACAGTGACAGATTGTTTTTGCCGACCTGTCGGCTTAACCCCTCTCAAGAGGGTGAAGCCCAACACAATTAGCTGTCAGTGCTGCGCTGGATCTCTAGAAGAACAGTTGTGGGTTTGGGACGCAGGACAGCTTCCAGGGACAGCTGACTGATCTCAAGAAGCAGGAAAGCCAGGACAAGGAGGCTTTTTTAGAGCTTGAGAGAATTGACACGTTGATTAGCTTTGTACAGTTTTTCTTTCTTTTTTGTTTCGATTTTGGAGGCACATGAAGGCTTGGTAAAAGCAAAGACAGAAGAGATTCAAGCAGGCAAGAAGCAATTGGAGGCCACACTTTGAGACTTTCCAAATGACGGGAGCACATCAGCATCTAACTGGTGAACTTTGTTCTGCAAACATCTTCCGATAGGCAAAAAGTGAGCAGAAGGCCTCTGCGGATTTGGAGCGGGAGCAGAGCAAGCAGGAGAGATGCAGAAGAGGTTGTGTACCCACCGCTGCAGACACTTGTATGGAGGACATCAAGGATACAACAGCTGCTCTGAAAGCTGATGGTACTGTAAGTGCAGAGGTGAAGGAGTCAAGGGACAGTGCAAAGAAAGCCAATCATGGCGATTGCCAAGTACGTTGTAATGCTGCGTTAGTCCAAGGAGAAATGTGCCGCCATGGATGATGACTATGAAAAGCGAAGCGGCTTGACAGGGCATCCTTTTCCTGTTTATTGGTTCTCATACCATGAACCTCACCAAGGCAAGTTGCGCTTGAACGAGCAGTCTGCAGTGAGCAAAACAATTCAGATCTTGACTGCCGACGAGGAAGGGCTTGCACACGATGTTCTCAATCTATTCTGACACATGCAGTGCTTGTTGTTGATTGTCCTTTTGATGTTAAAACACTTTTGCTTTCTTGCTTGAAATTCAAACACGAAGGCACACGATGTATTTGGAAAGAGCTTTGGCACCTCGTTCCTGCAGGCCACAGCTGCACAGGTTCTTGTTCCAAAAACTACTTTGTAAGGAATAGCAATGGCACTTGTACTAGCGTGAAAACCTAAGAGGAGCATGATAGCCATTGTAGCCATGCAGAAGCTGGTGCTTGCTTTCGCAAAAGCAGTCTGAGGAGAAGATGTTTACTGAGGTTTCTTCTGAAGATGCTCGCCGAGAGCGTGTTGTAGCTGTGCTTGCTGCGGCTGGCAAGAAGTTGGATGTTAAGCTCTTAGGTTTTTGCAGTGTTATTGCAAGAATCAGCATCACATGATCCCTTTTTTTGAGTGTTTGAACACTCCGAGGCTCGCTTGACCACACTGGCTTTGACATTGACACTTGCTTGCAAACCTTTCAAGCTTCTATTGCGACAGCATACTTCACGTCACAGATGTTCACTGCTCATCATACTGCATGTCAAGGAAGCTGGATACCTTTGAGAAAGTAAAGAAGGCCATTGATGAGATGAAGGCTGATCTCAAGAAGCAGCAAGCTGCCGAGGTGGTAAAGAAGGCGTGGCAAACCACGTTGAAATGGTTATCCTTTTCTTTCCACAGGAATATAGGCCTTTAAATCCCGCTCGGGATTTCGGCCAGACATGCGTAGTGCAGAGTGTCAGTCTGTCGTTTTTCGATACGTACTCGTAGCTGTTCATGGTATTGGCTTTTCCAGGACTGGTGCGTGGAGGAGATCCAGAAGACAAAGCTGCAGACGCAGGAGGGGACACACAGAATAAGAGTTTTCAAGAGATGGCCTCCGACTTAATAGCGATGGCCTCCAACCTAGAACCGATGGCCTCCAACAAAAATGCAGAAAAGAGTATGAAGCATGCACTGCTGATGCCTGAAATTATCGAACCATCGCTGAGTGTTCTTGGCTCCACATGATGCCCCGACAAGTTCACCTGTAGGACAAGACTCGCTCGGAACAGCAGAAGTTGGCCGAGTTGGAGACACTCAAGAGCAGGGTATCGCAGCTGACTGCTGATCTCAAGCCGTCGAGCTGCAGACAAGGGCGATGGCTATGGCTATAGAGTTTTTTTGGTTTCTCTCCCAAGTGAATGGAAAACGCACGACCCAAAGCATACCTTTTCATGAAGGTCATGAACACCTGAGAAAGGTGAACCACCGGTCAATACGACCTGCGTTTGGCTCAAGGAACAACGTGAGCGGCTGTTTTTTGTCGGTCGCTCTTGAGGCTTTTTCCATAACCACAGGTTATGAGCCCAAAGAGCTATTGAAGTCCACCCTCATTGTTGAGGTCGCTGGTCCCCATGAGCGGATTCGCCGCACGCCGGCGCCGGGCCTCACGAGATGGAGGCAAGCTGCGAGATCCGGGAGATCGCGAAGGGCATCTGAGAGTGGGCGCAGCAGATGAGAGGCTCGTCCTCGAAGAGGCGCGAGCGACATCGATGCCACCTGCGGTGAAGAGAGTGGGTGGGGCTCCTGCGGCGGCTGAAGGCCGGAGAACCTCGGCGGCAGCTGGCAGGGCTGATGGTGGTCGGCAACCTCCTCCCTTGGAAAGGCAGGATAGAGGAGCTGGCTGGCAGGAGACGGTGAGGCAATCCCTTGAGGTGTTGCAAAGGGCCTTTGGACCAACCTCCCAAGGACCGATGCCGGTGGGACCTCCGCCTCCTGAAGGACTTCTTGGACCCCTATTTCATGGCCGCAATCCGGGACACCCTCGCGCTGACGATCCAGGACAACCTGGAGGGCAAGGGGCTTGGCAGCGAGAGGCACCGTCATCGCCTCAGTTCCCAATTCCGCCGAAAGCGGACCGGAGCAGCATGAATGGTGAAGGTGGTCCACAACCTAGAGTACTTGAGCCCTACGACATGTCTACACCCCATCAACATGGGCGGCAGCAGACCAATCCTTTTTGGAGCGACCGTGGTCGTGCACCTGATGTGGGATCCCGTTCTGAGCGTCCTCAACCCCCGAGTGAAGAGGTGAAGAGGAGCCCGACGTCTCAGGAACTGGAAGCCATCCGGGAGCGCATCCTTCGTGAAGCCCATTTGAACTTCGAGAAGGAGGTCAAGAGGCTGACAGGTGGTGGAGGTTCGTCGACCTATGAATCGGCGAACAGTGTGGGCGAGCGGGCGAAACTTCGTGGGTCCACTGATGGTCAAGGTGGGAACCCTGGTGATGGTGCTGGTGAATCACTACCTGATCGACCCCCTGGATTTCATGAGACCACAACCGGGACATCGTCATCAGGGTTTGGTGGTGGTGCAGGGAAGGTGACCAGGATTGGTGCTGGAATGCCCGTGGCGTCGACGACTGAGGCTCTGCGGAACTTGGAGCTTCCGTCACTTCCAGCACCCAATGGAGAAGGAGCTTCGATCCTCTTCGGCGACTGGCTGACCATGGCATTTCCGCTGATGGCTGACATCTCCAACTCAGCGAAGGCCTGGTGGGAGGAGTCCTTGATGGTTGCACAGGAGCACTACTCGCGCTGGCTGCGACTGAGCCCACTGGAAAGGCTGAGATCAAAGCCCCAGGTTGAAGTGGATCCAGCATTTCAACGAATTGAACAGCGTGGAATTGCCATGCTGCTCGGAGCACTACCTGATCAGCTTCGTCGGGACTTGGTGTCTGGGAGGCAGCTATCCGTGGTGCACATCTTGTACCGGCTCCATGTGGCGTACCAGCCGGGGGGTGGCGCTGAAAAAACGCAACTCCTCAAGAATTTAGTGGAGTCGAAGTTCTCCACATCGGTGGGAGAATTGTCGATGCAGGTCCGGTTGTGGCGACGTTGGCTATCTCGTGCACAAGAACTTCACCTCAACCTTCCGGACCCTCTGGTCCTCATGCACGCCCTGCAGCGCATGATCGACAGCACCCAAAAAGCAGGAGGCACTCAAGTGTCATTCAGGATCTCAAATGTTCGGCAAGAACTTCGAGTTGACTATGCAGCTTCGTTGGAAGGGGTCACTGAGCTGGCTGAGTATGTGCAGGCCGAGATCGAGGAGATGTCTCTCACTGCTGCTCAGAAGGGTGGTGCACCGCTGGTTCAACCGGCTGCCTCGTCCAATCAATCAGCCTCGACGTCACTGAAGGCTATGGCATCGGCATTCGGTGCAACAGAGAATGAAGAGCGAGCCTCGGGAAGGGCTGCTTGCAAGTTTTGGAGGTCGGAGGAAGGGTGTAAGAGGGGCGCTTCATGCACCTATGTCCATGACACCTCGGACATGAAGAATCGATGCTTTGGTTGCGGTGGGAACCACATGAAGCGTGAATGTCCTCATCAACCAAAGACTGGAAAGCCTGACCCGAAGAAGGTGTCGAAGGTGAAGGCCACAAAGGAGGGAGAGAAAGGGGAGACCGTCGAGAAGATCGCCAAGGAGCAGCCCGCAAAGGAAGAGCCGTCTCCGGGGTCATCGCCGCCTCCGTCCACGACCACCTCAAGAATGGCAGAAACACCTGACAAACCATTGGGTCGGGAAACCACGGCAGAGTTGCTCTCTGAGGCAACATCCTTGCTCAAGACACTTCGGAGCATGAAGGTGCTTCGTGTGAAGGAATTGAAGCCGGTAGGCACTGATGGTCTGGCGCCTGTTGGACTTCTAGATGGAGGAGCGACCAATGGCCTTCGTCGAGCACATCAACAGGAGCTGGTGAAAATGTACCCGGTGAGGGTTGAATTGGCCTCAGGGTCAACGACGTTGTTCAGGGTGGATGACCACAAGACTTTGCTGTCCAAGGACCACGTGGAGGTCATTGTCCCGCTCCATCGACTGGTGGGCCTGGGGTATCGGCTTCAGTGGACGGCAGCTGGAGTGAAGATCAATCACCCTGATCATGGCAGGATTGACTGCGCGCTTCGTGGAGGATGTCCGGTTCTACCTGAAGCCAAGGCGCTGGAATTGCTCAGTGCCATGGAGAAGGCAGATCGGGGGGAGATCTTCACTGATGATGAAGTTCGATCATGGTGGTCATCAAGATTTCCTGAGGTCCCTGCGGAGGTGTGGGAGTTCATGAAGGGCCAGGACAGCTTTGATGCTTGCACCTGCCCATGGAATCGACGTCAGCGGCGACGACGCCTGGCGTCTCGTGGTGTGATCGTCAACCTCTTTGCCGGGAAGGACTACAAGAGTTGGTCAAAGACGGACTGGGGTGGCTTTGAGATTTTGAATGTGGATGTGACGATGGGCGCACAGTTTGACCTCCATGGCGTTGGAACCTGCGGGTATCTATGTCACCTAGCTCGACGAGGATTGGTGGTAGCTGTGCTGGGAGGACCGCCACGCCGCACGGTGTCGCGTCTGAGGCACCGAGCTCCGGGTCCACGCCCTTTGAGAGGTCGAGATGACCGTCGATTCATGCTGGAGGGACTGTCTTTGCCGGAGCAGGAGTTGGCCCTCAGCGATTGCGCGTTGGTGATGAAACAGATTGGTCTTTGGCTCCTCCCTGATGAGCATCGTGGAGAACGACCAGAACCTGGATTCCTGATGGAGTCGCCAAGAGACCCCATGGACTACATGTGAAATGAGGCCACCAACAAAAACATGCCGAGTTTCTGGAACTTCAAGGAGGTGAAGAAGGCCAGAGAACTGATGGGCGCATCCTTGCTGACCATGGATCAAGGGCCTATGGGCCATGTCAAGAGAAAACCAACATGTTTGATGGTCGCCAATCTCCCACAGATGAAGGAGTTAGATGGCGTGTCTGGAGAAGGTCGAGGAGAAGCTGAAGCGACATCGCTCACCGGGAGACTGGCCCAATCGAGGGAGTGGTCGGCCTGGGCACCGGGCTTGGTGGCGGCGGTGAAGGAGTGCTTGAAGAACTTCCTCCTGGACTACAGGCGCAGGTGGGGCGCGGAGGAGATCGTGCGTCACGGCGAACCTGGAGTGAAACGGATGAGCATGGAAAGTTGGAAAACCCACGTGCAGAACCAACATCAACCCTACAGGAGGGACTGTCGGCGACGCATGGAACTGATGGGCGTTGATGCGCCGCACCGGAGGATGTCAGGAGATCGATCGGCTCACTGCCTGTCCTATGACATTCTGGGGCCAATGCCATTGGGAGATGATGTGGGCTTGGGCACGAAGTCGAAGTACATCATGGTGGCAACGGTGGCCATTCCTAAGCTGCCTCGTGGTTTGGGGGGAGATGGAGATCGTCCAGCTGAGGATGATGAGCGCCGCCCTGATGATCGAGGAGATGAAGAACACGACCCAGCTAATCAAGGAGGTGATGAGGATCCCGCCAACCAAGAAAATGGCGAACAGGTTCTGCCTCAGCTGGATGAAGTGGAAGATGAAGACCGGGTTGCGCAGGAGGATGCAGTCGCCCTCAATGAAAGCTGGAAAAAGCACATTGATGACTTGGCTGCACCCGTGGGAGTTCAAAACATTACACTGGTGGAGCCCCTGGAGTCGAGAGGTCAACATGATGTCACGAAGGTGGCCACAAGGATGTACTGCCGCTTCAAGGCGATGGGCTTGAGGATCATCCGTGTCCACACAGACAGGGAGCGCGCTTTCTTCTCCAAGGTGTTCCAATCCTTCTGCCGGCGCTTTGGTCTCTACCAAACTATGACGGGGGGCGATGAGGGCCCTTCAAATGGGAGAATTGAAACGGAGGTGCAGCAGGTCAAAAGACGGCCCCGGATGTTGGTCAGAGAAAGTGGCCTGCTAGAAGAGCTGTGGCCTGGCCCGTCACACCGGGTTATGGGGAAACAACCACCTGACCCGTGCTTGCCGCAGATTCCGGCACCAAGGTTGAGTGATGATCCACATCTTCAAGCTCTTCAAGCTGGACGTGATGGTTCGGGGGGAGAGCACAAAGAAGAAGTTGATCCAGCCCGTCACTTTGTTTGGTCTGGGGGGGAGTCTCTCCTCTTGAAAAGCAGTGATGGTGGTGAAATTCGAAAAGGACATGATGATGCACACCGTGAACCCTGGGTGTGTGGTGAATGCGGACTTCAGGTGCTCCCGGTGAAGTGTGGTGATCAGCGGGAGTATATGATCTGCAAGTTGAAGGAGGTGGGACAGTGCCGTTTTTGTGAAACCCCACTTGAAGTTCCATGCCACGAGGCAATGCTGGGGCGTGTGGAATGTGGGCTGGACGAGGCACTGAGACTCCGTGAACATGGAGAAGAAGAGCATCGCTCGCTATGTCGGTGAAGAACGACTTCGGCATCAATGCATCAAGCTTGGAGTCCCTTGCGCACCGTTGATGCCAATTGGAGCCCGCGTCACTGTCAAGACCAAAAGGTGGCACAGGGCTGGGTTTGGACCTTTGATTCCGCCCTTTCGCACGATGACCATCCTCGGACCATCACCTTTCATGATGGAGAGGGAAGGTCAACAGGTTCAACATGCACGTGTGGTTGTCCTCACTGACCCGATGGCTGACCGAGCTGTTCTGGAACTCCAGGAAGTACCTGATCCATCGCGGGCGAAGATGAAGGAACTATGCAGGGCTACATCCTCGACTATATGGAGAAGATGGTTGTGGAGATGGAGGGCAAGCTGACTGAAATGCGAAGTGGTGATGAGGAATACCAGATGGCGGCTCTCGGCACCTCGCCACCGCAGGAGCAGCAGGCGGTCCACTCAGTCCTGCAGACCTACACGGTCCCACTGGCCCAGGTTCGAAAAAGATCTTCCACTATGGATTCCACCTCTCAAGAACGAGGTAACATCGCTGGAAACGTCAACGACAGCGGTACGGCCTGTGAAGGTGAAGGATTTGGTCAATGAACCGGGCTATGAAGAGATGCTGGTGGTCCCATCGAAGGTTGTCCCGACGGTGAAGGCTTCGGACGCTTGCAAGAAAGCCCGCATTGTTCTCTGCGGAAACTTGGTGGAGGACGCATCAAAACGTCAAGGACAACCTATGGCTCTTGAGGATCGTCAAGATGATATACCGGCTCAACAGAAGACCATGGGAAGCAGTTTTGACCTCTGCGCCAGTGGCATTGGTGGAATGTCGCTGAGGTGCACCTTGCGAAAGGCGGCTCAGGAGAAGTGGTCTATTGGGGTCACTGATGTCTCCACGGCATTCTTGCTTGCACCTCGGAAATCGTCCAGGCTGATGGTGACGAAACCGCCGTCTTTACTGGTGGAAGCTGGACTCATCGAACCTGACATCCGCTGGGTGATTGAGAAAGCAATCTACGGCCTGGACACATCTCCCTCTGACTGGCAGGCCTACAGGGATGAAGCTCTGCAGAACATGCGTTGGTGGGAAGATGGTGTGCACCATTGGGTCGTTCCCACTCCAGAGCCCAACGTGTGGCGTTTGATGACTGCGCTTGGAGGCGAGGAGGACTTCGTGAATGTGATGGATGATGGTTCAACGGCGGGGTATGCTTTGTCCTATGTCGACGACTTCATCGTCACTGCACCTCGGCCCACGGCAGAACGTTTTTTGAAGAAGCTCTCAACCATGTGGAAGTGCGCAGAGCCGAAGTGGGTGACTCAGCACCAGTGGTTGAAATTTTGTGGAATAGAAATGAGGTGGAAGGGTGATGAATTGTTGGTTGGGCAGCCTGACTACACGCGGGAAATTGTTAGTCGGTATCCTGATCTTCAACCTCGCCAAGTTCCCCTTCCGAAGCTGGATGATGTGGACCTGGAGGACGAAATTCTTCAGGAGGATGTGAGAAAATGTCAAACCATCATCGGTGAGCTCCTTTGGTTATCAACACGCACCAGGCCTGACCTGAGCTTCGCGGTCTCCTGCCTGGGTTCCAGGGTGACAAAATGCCCAAAGAGAGTGCTCAAGTTGGCTTATCATGTGGTGGGGTACCTCATGAACACCCTTGACTATGCGCTCGCCTATAAGCCCTGTTCCGAGGAGATGGACTCCTATGGTCGGCAGAGCTCAATGTCCAGGCTGGAGGTGTTGGCAGACTCGTCGTTTGCACCAACTGGAGGAAAAGGTCATCAGGGCATCATGTGCCCATGGGGCGGCGCTTTAGTGGCTTGGGAATCGAAGACTCAGCCCTTTGCAACGCTGAGCGCAACTGAATGTGAACTTCTAGGGTACGTCGATGGCTTGACCCTGGGGGAGAGTGTTGGAGCGATCGTGAACGTCCTCGAGCAGAATGCGCTGGCCCACGAAGGCTGCTATGTTTTGCGGGGCGACAACCGGTCAGGTTTGCAGCTGCTGCATGCCCCAAGCGGGCCTTGGCGGACGAGGCACCTTCGACTCCGCAGCCATGTTTTGAGAGAGCGGCTGCAGATGAAGTTGTGGCACGCAGAACACATCCCTGGCGCTGATCTATGCGCTGACCTGTTGACCAAGGCGATCACTGTGCCTCGGAGCTGGGAGACATTTGCTTCTACGGCGTAGCTTGCTTCGGTGGAGCCTGAAGCATCTGCGGAGGCTCCGGCGCTGTCTCGCATGAAAAAGCTGGCGCTGGGTGCAGCGGTGGCATTGGGACTGCTAGTGGTGGCTCCGGGCCTGGGCACTGCGGTCCGAGCAGCATCGGTGTGCGGCTTGGCAGCTTTGACGGCATTTGTGCACAAAAAGTGTTCGGACATCAAGATGGTCGAGGGGAAATGAACCCGGCCCAAACACAAGATGGTCGAGGGAAGATGAACCCGGCCCATTCGCATGCGGGAAAAACACAACTTACAGAACATCCCCGCCCGTCGCTCTCTCGATCTCGTTCGACTGTTGCCGGACCGGCGCCCCGAGGGTCGCGAAGGGTTTGGATTCGCCCTGCAGCCATGGCCGGACGCGCATGTGCGCCATGAAGGCGCCACCGCCAAAAGCCCCGCCTAGGCATGTGGGCCTGGGAACGGATGAACCTTGGGAGCTTGCGCGCTTCATGTCCCCGCCGACTGGACTTGACCGGTGGGAATGCCTTGGATGTGGCACCGCCAGCGGCGATTGGTGGGTGAGGGTCCTCAAGAGGCCTAGAGTGCGGCAGTTCCAACCGCTCCACAGGGGGACGCCCATGTCCATTGGACGTCTCTCACCAACCCGGATCACCGTGGTCTTCAGCCGGGGGAGCGCAAGAGAAGCCTGGCGTCGACGATGCATCATCGATGACTGGGTGGAGAACCGAAATTCGGATGTGAGAGATTGCTATGAGTGGTGTGGCTACTCGTTCTTCTTTGTGAAGTTTGGCCCGGAGACTGGCACCGTCGAGGGTGAGGGATCGCTGTCTTCGCAGGCTCAGCTGCCTTTGCGGCCTCGAACCTTGCCTGATTGTGGAGGTTCTCAGCTGCGTGAAGGGTATGGAGGTGATGATGGCACTTCTTCACATGCTGTGGAGAGGGGTCGAAAAGCTGTGGAGGCCTTAACTGGCACTTCATTTCGCATGTCTCGTGCCTATGACGGCACGGCAATCACTGCACGAGTCAATGTGACCTTGGAGGGTGTCCCCGCGAGCGGCTATGAGGCAAGGCGCCTTGGATGCTTGAGGAGGGGAGAGCTCGGGCCGTCCGCTTCGTCGAAGGCGGAGGATCCGAATGAGGAGGCTTGGAAGGTCTCGCTGGAAGTGAGCGGTTAAGTCCGCCAGAAGCTGATGATTTGCCCGTCTGGATGGGCGTAGAGACGCCTGTTGCGAGGCCTCCTGGCCCGAATCCCGACAGCGAGGACTCGAGGTCGGCTGGGAGCTTTGAGTTTTTGGGTGAAGCCGCAGACGAAAAAACCTGCGGTGGATCCCCATAGAGTATGCTGGTTTCATTGACCCAGCATAGGGGGAGTGTGAATGGAAAGCGCACGACCCAAAGCATACCTTTTCATGAAGGTCATGAACACCTGAGAAAGGTGAACCACCGGTCAATACGACCTGCGTTTGGCTCAAGGAACAACGTGAGCGGCTGTTTTTTGTCGGTCGCTCTTGAGGCTTTTTCCATAACCACAGATTTATTGACTTTCTCGGGTGTATCATTTTATTGTAGCCTAGCTTTGGAAGTAACACGATACTCAGTCACTGTGAGATGTCATAGTCACTTTGTTTATGAGATGCTTAGTTCATGCAGATGGTCTCTCTGAGGTCACTGGATTCTGAGGCCTGTATTTTTTGGCACCAACATCGCTTGCTGCGTCTGCTCGCTTGCAGTCCTTATTGGATTTAATTGGGGGGTCCTGGAAATCCTTGCCATAGGTGGCCGAAATGAACAAGCAAACTCAAATTGCTGGACAAAATCGCGAGAAGGAGAACAAGGACTGCTCTTGATTTCACTCAATTTTCCTTGAGCTTACCGTCATTGTTGGCCACCCGCTAGATGGCACATAGTACGATTGATAATGAACAGCTGAATACAAAGGGGGGTCGATGTCACGGACCTCAGGATGCTCTATTTGCATATCCAAGAGCAAGTCAAATTGACAGTTGACATAGATTTCAATGTGGAAGCATAAATCAACCGCTGCTCAGGACGTTCAGACTGTGGTCGAAGAGCAACGCCAGACACAGCAGCTGCTGAAGGAGGCTAGCGCTTCCTTGAAGAAGTTCTATGCAAAGGAGGCACCTGCCAGGGTGTGGTGTCTGTCGGAAGCAGAAGGGGAGACTCCTGACAGAGAAGCTATATTCCTGCTGAAGATGTTCAGGCGCCTGCATTCATCCAAGCAAAAAAGAGCACTAGCGACGAGCCGGAGTTCAAGGAGATGCTACCGGTCGAGTCAATCTCACTCAACATGGTTGAGTGAAGGCAACGGGGTTGTCGCGTTGCACAAGATTCTTGATGCAGGCTAGGATGGCTAGGAGAAAGACAGGTCACAGTGGGTCTTCTCCGGATCTGTGGGCCTTCTCTGATTTCGCAAGACAGAATTGACGATGCGTTGAGGACTACAAAGAACAGTCTGCAAGCTTCGGAGCCCAATCCCAAGACAGACAGCGAAATCTTGGGCGCATCCGACGAAAAACTCGGATCAAAGGACCAAGTAGTTGATGTTGATAGGTCATGAGTATGCTCCAGCAGTTGATTGCTGATGCCAAAGCCATGGAAGCAGAGGTGAGGCAACGTTTGGGAGACAGTCTGGCAACATGCCTAAATGTGGACTGAGTTGCCCATGATACATCGTGTTGAATCGTATAGGCAACCCATGGTGAAAAGGCAGCTCAGGAGGACTACGAGGCCCTGAATTGGCTGCGTTGATTACTTTCTTTCCTAATTGTCTTGAGCTAACACCAACGTGATCAAGACGTATCAAGACAAGTTGCTTTTCGAGGCGTTCACCAAAGCGACAGCAGCGACTTTGCAGCAGTCCGATGTGCTGTCTTTTTGCGGTGTTTTCGTTTGGAGCTGATGTTTTGAAGTCGTGAGGGTCTCATTGAAAAAGTTCCAATCATCGTGTGTCACAGGTGTCAATTGAAACCAAGCAGAAGGAGATGACAACCAAAGAAGAAGAGAAAGGCTCCGCTGAAGCTTCATTGGTAGAGGCCACGACCCTACTCACGCGGGTCTGGCAAACGGCATCGAAAGCAAGTTGCCAAGCACACTCAACGCACCAAATGCTAGGCCTAGGCCATCCTTTCAATTTACTAGATTCCATTTTCCGTTCCAAACTTCTCGGCTGTTCTTGGAGTTCGTACTGAAGCTCCCACTTGAGGCACGGCAGGGCAAGGAGGGTTTGACCGCTACCATTGCAGAGCTTGCTACTGTGAGTGGTGAATTGCATGCTGCTTGCCAGAACAAGCTGTTTTGGTTTCCACATCAAAAGCAGTTCGTTTTCATTTTGTGAAGAAAACAGGTGGTGATTTGATACGCGATCCGCTTCGTCACAGGATCAGTGCGATCCGCTTCTGGAGAACTTCGATGCCAGGCCGACCCATGCCGACCGGTGACGACTCGCGACCTTCGACCCGGCGAGGCAGTCGGCCCGCTCGGACGAGATGGATTCCTTGGACCAGGCCAAATCCATGCTCTCAGGGGCCAAGGCCGGGAGGTCGTTTCTTGGAGAACGAGAATCACAGCTGAGACATTGAAGCTGTTTTTGTTGTCACAATGTTGTCATATGAAGCAAGTCAATGCAAGTCATACCATTGTATGTTTGCGAAGAGCTTCCTTGGTGGATGGAAGGCATGAACAACAGCTGCCGAGCTGACATGTCAAGATTGCTTGGCATAAAGAGGGAGCTTGCAGCATTTTGTAGCTACACATGGCACTGGTTCTGCGGGGTTGTTCATTGGCGCTGGGTGTTCATAATTTGCTTGGATTGATCCTTGGATCAAGGGATGCCAAAGTGCAGTACAGCAGAAACACTGCAAAAACTGCAGACACAAGCCGGTATTCCTCATGGCCCAATGTCGCCAGCTCAGCAGAAGTTTGGGAGATTTTTAGCGACTTCTTGTTGCTGACTTGGTCTTGTAGGGGTGCCCAAAAGCAAGGTCGAGACGACTCACCAAACCGAGCCAAAGTTGCTCGCGGAGTGGCCTGCTCAGTAGAAAGACGCAGTTCCCTGTTAGCACAGTACTGGAGCCTTGCCTTGGCGTCGGCCCTTGGCCTCCATTTCGCCTTCTTTGCAGTCACAGGCTTCTGCCCCCATGACTGCAAGTGGCGAGTCTTGCAAGTTTTTGTGCTTCACGGCCGTCTTTGATCACATGTCTTCTTTGTGTTTATTTCTGCCAGGCTACTCGGGCACAAAGCTGCCCTTGCCGCTCCGGTTTCTTCGAAGGCTGTCTTATGACGATATAGATGGAAGTGGTCGGTCATAGTGAGAGAGAAAGTGCTGCTCATGTAGGTCCAGCAGCCTGAACAGTGCAGCTCGCCTTTGCGAATCTGTTAGGCTCTGAGGGGAAGTCACCTGAAAGGTGACCTTGTGTCTCAAACCATGCTGTAGTAGTTCCTTGCAAGGCAACTCCAACACAAAGCTCACCTAGATCGAAAGCAAGGCATGCACTCAGTTGGAAGAGTTTCTTTCGACACTCTCTTCTCTTTGCAATTGGAAGCATTGACTAGTAGGCACGCAGGGTGAAGTGTGCTGATGAAGGCCACCCCCATTGCCGACGTTACCCTCAGCTGCACGGAGGCTGCTCTCGAAGGCCGTCCAAGTGGTTGCGCTTGAAGTGCGGGACCTGCCTCAGCCAGGTTTGGCCCAATCTATCCTAGCCGAGGGTTTTTGGCAAAAGAGACTAGCGGTTGACCCGTGCAGGGTAGTGCCTCACGAGCCAGTCCGAAGCTCATTTTGTGCCAGCTTGCAAAAGTGCAGGGTGTACCGCCAAACCAAAGGTAGCCTTGGCCATCCACAAGCTGAACGGGGAAATGCTCACACCACTGGAAGGCTGGTGGCAATGTGCACTTTTGACGAAGAAAGGACCCGGTTTCGATGTTTCACCGCAAGGACCTCTCGAACGGATTTGCGGTAGTAACAATGTTCGCTACTAGGAACAAGTGCATCGCTACTAGGAGCAAGGGCCTTACTAGTAGTAACAAGAAGCTACTAGGATTTTCAGCGGTTTGTCTTACGTTGCCCTGTGAACAGCTTACTGCAGGGCGATGAAGAGTGACCCGGAGCAAGTGCCGTGCCACGAGGTCAGATCCTTGTCTGCTATTTTGGAAAACATTGTCAGTTTTCTGAAGGGTACCTTAGAAAAGGTGTTGAGGAGTGATGTGAGATGCTTTTGAAGATCAGTCTGTATGTTTTTCGGCTCAGCAATGTTGAAGGACAGGACAGGCTCAACGGAGCTACTTTAAACGAGGCCAATCAAGGGCGCACAAGCAAATTGTACCTACAGCTGTGTTGGCTGCCAAGCGTGTTCGCTGTGATAGTTCGGTTCACCCAAGCCAAAGATACAGACACAAGAACAGTACGTTGCGCCTTTGGCGCGAATCGACCCAACAAGCAACTGTATCCATAAAGCATCAGCTTCCTATCCATTCTCTTGTCATGGCGATGGATGCTATGCAGCCTCCGCCCCCCCCGAAGAGACAAAAGCAGCCGCCCTTTCCGCCAGAGGAGCGCGTCCGAGGGTGCAATGCAACGAGTCTTTGTCTTTTAAGCTCTTCATCTTGTGGAGAGCGCTTGGTGACGTGTCAGGGTGACTTGCCTCAGCGAAGGCCAGTCTTGCGCCTTCACACTTGTGCCTTCGACCTTAGAACCTCACGCCATGAGAACCGCTGCAAGGCTTTGCTTCAAGCGGAAGTTGCAGCTCGATGTGGAGGAGCGTTTCCGAGAGATGGTCATCGCAGCTGTTCAAGAGGCCACGGGAAGAAGGCTACGGGAGAACGGAGAACATGAATCAGAGCTCACTCTGACTTGTATAGGACGTTTTCCAATCTACAGTCAGATTCCTACGGATCATTGGATTGTTCATTGGGTGCTGAGAAGTGGTTTGCAAGACGCGAGAGACCACAACAGCTTCTAGCTATGCCCTTGTTACTAGTAGCGACGCCCTTGTTACTGGTAGCTTCTTGTTACTAGTAGAAATGCACTTGTTACTAGCAGCAGCCCAGGTAAAGACGCGAGAGACCACAACACCGCTTGGAATGGTGATGATCTTGGGTCGTGTGGTGGGCACTGGAACACGAACAGATGTGATCCTTCCAACAGCGACAGAGGTGCTTTTGGATCCTGGGCCGCAAGCCTTTGCTCACTCAAAGAAGGCATCAATACATTCCGAAGACGATTTTTAGGGACGATCAGGGGAGAAACTCTTCGGAGCGTTGCATCCGATGCTTGACATGCCATGCATGACATGCTTGATAGCTCATGCTTGACATGCCATGATGCTGCTGCTATTTGCAGCTGGAAAGCAATGTCCTGCTCAAGGATGAAAGGGGTCAACACAACTTTGTACCAGACCTTTCACCTGAGCTCTTCCAGAACTTGGGCAGAAGAATGCAGCGCCGACTTGCTGAGCACAAGGCGAGTTTTGTTTCTTGTTCTGGGGGGTAGGCCGCTAGAGGTAGAGGTGAGGTAGGTAGCTAGGTAGCTAGTAGGGAGAGGCAGCTAGTAGGTACATGACGCTCCTACCTTGGACGCAGAAGCGCTCGCACTAATGATTTGCTTCCTAGAATTGAGGGAAACTTGACTGATAATATCCTTTTGTGGCTTCAAATTAATTTAAAGCTGGTTTGTGTTTTTTGCTCGTGTTTGTGTGCAAAGGCCCAGCCTGTTCAAGAACGTCGCTGGTCAAATGTAAGCTTGGAGCAGAGGTGGCGGTTTCCAATTGGTCGGCAGTTTTGATGTGGAGAGTTGACAGGCAAGTGCGATCAGCATGGTACAAGACCGCTGCGACTTTCTACTGCCCTGTCAGCCGCTGGCACTACCAATTGAGGTGTGGTTCAAAGACATGGAATGAATAAGAAAGCGAAGACAACCAGATCAGAAATCCAATGAGTTTTTCATTGTCCAGCGATGAGTTTTTCATTTGCCAGGTTTAGACAAGAACATCCTGAAGGACAGACGATCCAGTTGTTCAAACCGTGTTCGATCACGCTCTCTTTTCGTAAGGCCCGGAAGGATATGCTCTACCTGAAAGGAAGGAGACCAACTTGGTGTTTCAAAAGGCTTGGGCTTGCAGCTTCAGTGAGTTTTGACATCTCAACACGTGATTCGTTTCAAAGCACATGATGAAGGTTGATGGTCCTGATGATCCTATGTGGACCTTTTCTCTTGTGCAAGAGGGCGGCAAAGCCTGGGTTGAGTTGCGAATGAATGAGGTGCATTGGTGCAAAGATGGAACAGTCAAACCCTCAAGCGCATTTCCTTGTCCAGTTTCCAGCCAGGTGTTTCTTGTGAATCATCAAGAACGGATGAGCAGCTCAAAGCCTCACTCATTCAGAATCTTGGGCCGTAAAGTTAAAAGACACACGGAATGGCTTGACTAAGCCCGAGATCTGCATGTATGTGCCACTAGCTGCTGAATCTGAGATCGACTTTGTCGTGATTATCGGCGAAATGCTCAAGCAATTCAACATGAGTTGGATTTGATGGACCCGCTGCAAGGCCAGGAAAAGCAGGAAAGACCCCTCACAGTTCGAAGGCGGAAGCCCTGTGTGCCACCTGTGCCAGCTCAGGCGATGTTTCCCAGAAGCTTTTTTATCCATCCATGTTCGATTCTGCTGCCCGTGTTCAAGACTTTTACCACAAGAGAGCACTTCAACAAAGTCAAGGCAGGACGTTGGACGAGCTTGGTGCGGAAATACTTTGAAAAGGATGAGTTTTGGAGAACCCTCCTCTGACTGCCGGCCATCCAAAGTTCTGTCTTAGCAGTTGCGTGCACCATTCCTGGAGAGATTACGGTTGGCAGCGTTGAGCTGTAACTCAATCTTGATGTTTTGAAAGCAGTCACTTCTATGCCGCTGCCTGTCAATCGAATTTCAATGCCAAATCCTGTTTGTGCACAGGAGGGGAAGAAATGACCGCAAAGATTCGACGCTTCAACAACTGTGTCAAGACAATGATGCTGGAACGTTGCCTCACTTGCACTGAACTGGTTTTGCACTACAACATTAATATTGTCGGTACTGTATGGCTCAACGAAGGGATGGACTCCAAATAGGCTAGAAGCTGCGGGTGCCTGGATCCTGTGTTGGCAAGCTTTAGCCCTTTGTGCCAAAAAGGCTTCATGGACGGCATGAAGGGTGAGCTCCGCATTTTGGATTTGGCTTGTGGTCGAGGTCAAGATATTCTCAAGTTCCTTGGCAGCTGTTTGTAGAGGGTTCATGAGTCAGTGTAGTCAAACCTTTTTTCCCAATTGTGCAAGCTGCCAAGCATGTGCAAGAAGGGATTCAAGCACAACCTCGGCTTCCAACAGATGACAATGCGGTTGTTTCGGTTTCTTCAATTAGCACAGCTGCCGTCTTGACCGAGCAGCCCGAGCAATAGTGATGGACCGTGAGGTATTCGACCGAGCATCGGCTCTGCACTGTGCGGTCGGTTGTTGGGATCGACTTCGCTGCTGAAGCTGTGGAGGAAGCCAAACGTCGTTATAGACTCTTGGACAAAGAAGCCACCACCAAGGAACTGGTTCTTCTGGTGTAGAAGAAAGGGCCAAGCCCAAGGATTTTCACGGGATGTAGGGAAGGTTGATGTCAAGTCAAGACCTGTTTTTGTTCCCAGATTGTTGCTTCTCGTGGAATAAGACTTGCTGTCCACACACCTGCTACAGTGTATGACTGTGGAACTTCATCCTTAAATGTAGAATGGTTTGGCCAAAGTTACTTTACTACTGCTTGGAATAGAGTGTTGCAGATCTAGTTCTTATTTATATAGGTGCTTGTCCTCAATCTAGCGGGTCCTGAGTCCCAGCACGTCCTAGCCCCCAGAAGTTGAATATCTCGATGCTCAATCATTCTGAAGGCAGCAACAAAACCTGTGCGATTCCTGTGCGTTCTCCTGTGTTTTGCATATCTGAAACCAGGTTCCTGGATGCCGATCGGTTTGCTGAGTCTGCTGAAGGCCCGCTGTGTCTGAGGCACGCTGTGCCACAAGGCCCAGCGCGCCGGTCGACACGAGTTCATCGCGAGCTTCAGACGGGGAGACCTTCGGCATGCTTCGACGTTTGCGGACCTGGCCAAGGAAGGCTTTCACGAGCTTCTTGGTGTGGCACAGATGGGTGTGGAATGCAAAAATACATAAAAAAGACATGGAGTGACATAGAGTGATAGAGTGTGGATTGGTTCACTGATTTTTTTGAATAAGAAGCAATACAAATGTATCAATATCTCTGTTTTGCGGCCAAGTCTGCTTGTAGAACAGAACTTTTTTGAGCCAGATTGGGAGAACAATCATGGTCTGATAAGCTTGTTGATGGCAATACCAAGTTGAGACAAAAAAAACGATTGCTGACGAGTGTGAAGTTTTGTTGATGTTGCTTCTCTGCAAATCTGGTGTATGTGTGCTTTAAGGTTTGATGTGGTAGTTTGTCAGCTAGCTTTGCACTACCTCCTCAACTCTGAAGAGGCAGTTCTAGTGAAATTTGCTGTGTTAGACCTTCTCACATTATGTTGTCCTTCTCATGTTGGATCTATCGGCTTTCAGCTTGGAGCTGTCTAGTTTGGCCAGTGCTTCGCCCTGTGCTTTTCACTGTTTCAGCTTGGAGGCAGCCAAGCAGTTCTTGCAACATGTGGTGCAGCTGCTTTGCCCTGGGGGCAGATTCATTGCCACGGTGCCAAGGGCGAGGAATAGTTGGGTGAACCATAGAGAGGACAGGGAGAGCGTGGCCGAATAGATGAGACGCTCGCTCTTTGGCTCTCTCTGACCCTTCTGCCTGGTGCCGCAGCTTTTGTCAAACACAAATTTGAGTGTAAATATCGAGCTGGCTAGCTGAGTCGGTAGAGCGCAAGGCTCGTAACCTTGTGGGCAGGGTTCAAATGGCATATCATTCATGACTATTCCACACCGTATTTCACGAAAGCGAGCTCCAAGGAGGGAATGGGACCCCCCTTCCTTGATGAATTGATACGAATTGATTTGGTATTGATTAGGCCCATCCCCCAACAAGATCTAACAAGATGACACGCATCACAAGCATTAGTTCAGTGATTGGAACAAGCTAAGCGAAGGAAAGGTGGTTCCTACAGAGTTTCCACTCAAGCATTATCGATGAAAACAGCGCTGAATCATTCGAGGGTACGCCATTGCTTGCATCGGTGGTCATCCTCTTATGGATATGTGCTGGAATGGGTTTTCAAGCAAGAGCATCCACTGAAGTTGCTCGAGTATGCCGGTTGCAGCCACTGCATTCAAGAGTTTGCACTCCACCATAGTTGTTGTCACGTCTCTTGCCAATGAGCGCTGTGTTGTTGAATCCTTGTTGCTGCCTCGTTGCACGGCGGTCGCCACCGGAGTTCTTCTCGCTCTCAAGTTCCTTTCCTGGCTTTCCAAAGTCGGCCACTAATTCACTGTGTGTCGTGGCATAATTTGGAGCTGGCGATGAATCTCCATGGAAGACATGCGATGTCCTGTCCTCCAGGTGCCTTCCTGCGAGGTCCTAGCTGACTTTTACGAGAAGGCTTCCTTCACAGGGGAAAGGACACTGATGTGCATGGTGAAGCTGTTTGTGTCTTCATAGAGAGTTTTGCCAATCTGATGGATGTGTCGTGGCAGCTGTGTCATGAGCAACTGTCCATATGATTGGAAAAGAGCAGTTCATCATCAGGAATTGCCAACGGATGCTTCAGCACTCACTGTTTCAAGCAGCATGGCGGACGAACGCTTTTTTGATGCTTTTTGCTGTGATCCATTGGACCTATACAACAATTGGTTTCCTCCACAATCCCAGGTGCGATTTCAGGGTGAAGCGTGGCAGCGACTGCAAGATGAAGGAGTGCAGCTGGAGCTCGACGAGGCGTGGAGCATCCACTTAAATAGAGGGCTCTGCAACCACCGGTAGGTGAATATGCCCCCAGTGAATGATCCCCAAAGTCTTGTTTGCATTGTTTTCAATTTGTTTGTGATCAACATGCACTGGAGGTTTTCCTACGGCAGTGGGGCTTGCCATACCTTTTCTCGCTGGAGGGAGCTGTGCATGGTGAGGACAGTTTCGTTTTCATGTGAGGATGACATTTTCATGCTTTTTGGATGGCAGGCTGGCAGAAGAGGTAGGAGGCAGTAGCTAGAGGTAGCTAGGAGCTAACAAGTAGCTACTACCGACAGGACGCAGGATAGGTGACGCTTCTTCAAGGAAGCTCTCCCCTACCGGCGGCGGGGGAGCTTCCTTGAAGAAGCGCTCGCACTATTCATTTGGTTTCTAGCATTTTACGGAAACTTAACCTTCTTGCGTGCTGTTGGCAACAGTGGGTCCTTTTGATTATCTACAGCTTCAAGGCAGCTTTGCACACATGTTCCAGGAGTATATCCTGCCTTGGGAAGCCTTTGAAGAGCTTGCAGAATCCTTTGGTTTGAGGCCATATTCGGTGGGTAAAGGTGACGGAGGCTTTTTATTGCAATAGAGGTGATGTATGGTGATGTGTATAGCTTATATATAAGTCGAATTATATAGGTGTTTGTTGAGTGCAAGATTTGACACTAGTGCTTGAGAGCAATGGGTCAGTGTATTCAATTGGCCACCCTTGATGTAATTTGACTTAGCATGCCTTCTTCCAACTATGCGGAGGCTGGACAAACATGGTATGCCATGTGTTAGGAAGTGAGGAAAGCCTCCAGCAAAGACTCTCTTGACTATCACTGTGAGTCAGATATTGGATGCATCTTGAGATCAGCAAAGTGGAAGCATAGGTACCTCATTGAGATGTTTGCCATGAAGATGGAAGCAGTACCTTGAATTAGTGAATCAGATTGCTTATTTAACCAGCAAACCTTTTGCAGGCGGAATTGTATCGTTCCAAAACTTGGAGAGCACAAGCAAGTACCAACGTGATGATTTTGTCTTCACCTTTTTCGGCGGCCAGGGTTCTCGCAGATGCATCCTTTCCAGATCTTTTCAACGAGCTGAAGACAAGGCGCCTTAGTCGTAGTTTTTGTCAATGAAACGGTGTGCTATTATTCATTGACATACTTATATACCCAAACCGGAGCAAGCAGATCAAAAAGACACATGGTGCGTGTGGCACTTGTGGATGCTGTACTGCAAGGTCTCGATTTTACAACGGCGTTTTCTCCAAAGACACTGAGCAAAACAGCAGCTTTTTTACCGATTCTGCGGATTTATGTCACAGATATCAATATCTTCAAGGCTGCTTTTTGATACCCTGAGGACAGGGAGAATGCTTATTTAGACCCTGATGAGGAGACCCTCTTCAGACTGTGCCCAGCTTGTTCCTCTTCTTGACCTATAGCAAATGGAGGGACAGAATTCACGACATGGAAAACAGTCCAGCTTTCAGGTACTCTGGCTTTGTGATGGAAAGAACAAAGCAAAGCGAAGAGCAAAAGAACCGAGCGAGCCATACCAACCATTGGGACCATAATGACATCGTGCATGTGCTTTGAGTCAACCCAGAGCTCCAAAGCTTCTCACAAAGACAAGCAGCATGCCTCACGCTAGTCCTGTGGTCAACAATTGCAATCTGTTGCACCAGCACTTCCAGTGTTTGCAAGTAGTTGGCATTTGCAAATTTCTACGGATCCAAGTGCTCTCCTCGAGGTTGATGCAAGTCAAGGCATGCGCTATCCTGTGTATGCTGTTTGCGCCGTCACACGAAGAGTCGAGCAGAGAAAAAGTGGTTTAAATTGAAGCAAGCCGGTTGCTGCTCAGCATGTAACGAGCTGAAAGACGGCCCGTCGAATCCCTGTTGAATAGGGCATGCTTCGACAGTTGTCACCACCCACTCCGAGAAGACCGCGTGGCTGGGACGTGCAAGGTGCCATGCTTCAACGCTGTTCGCTGTTTATTGAATGATTGGAGGCCATCAAGTATTTGGTTGGAGGCCATCGCTATTAGGTTGGAGGCCATTGCT